CAGCTATTGGCCTTAAATGTATTTTGGTTTATTGGTAAAAATTTAAAGTTATTTTTGTTATGCTGTATGTATGTTTCTACTCTTGTTTAGGGTATTATGCTTATGCAGATCACTTAAAATGTAATGTATAATTAAGAAATACAGTCTAATAGTCATCTATAATAATCAAACTTTTAGTCATACTAGGTATGTTTTCAAGGTTAAACAGATATATTAGATATATTAGGTCTTCAAACACTTCAAAGATCTACAGAATATGACATTTAAAATATTTAATAACCTGAGGTTTTTCATGACAGTGAGACACATCTGCTCTTTACAGCACCAATTTACTTTTTAAAAAAAGGATGATGGGCATTGAAGAACCTCCATATTGGAGTTTGTTTTCTTTGTGGCAAAAGCCAGCCACTGGGCAAAGAAACTGCCCTTGCCTAAATTACCGAGAGTATACTGCCCAAAGCGGACCAGTAGGACGCAAAAGAAAGTGACTGCCAAACTTTGTCAAGACAAGGTAGGACAGTCTTTCAAAATTCCCTGCTTCTTAGAAATTTGTCAGATATACTAGGCCTGTAGGTCAAAGGTAGATGCCCCAATGCTATAGAGGAACTTTGTGTGACTGTCCAGACAGCTAGTAATTCCTGCCATTAGGTAATATTATACCCCTTTGGTCTTTGATGGAGTTAAAGACTAAGTAATTAGACTTAGTTTTCCTTAGTTATGGTAAAAGGTAAATTAGGTATAAAACTTTAGACTCACAAAGATAAGATAGAGGTTTTTTTTTTCCTCTAATTTTGCCAAATACAAATGGACTGGATATTGTAACTGTAATTCTTACATGATAACTGTTTTGTTATATATAGTTTTACTATGTTAAAGCAAAAGCCTTCCTTTTTAATTAGACAAAAGGGGGAAATGCTGTGGAATAATCCTTTTGTACACTGTGACTATATATTACTCCCATTGGTTTAATAAAAGGCTAAATGGTCAATAGCTAGGCAGGTAGAGGTTAGGCAGGACTTGCAAAAAGAGAGGACAGGGAAGTGTAGTAGGACAGGCCCACAGGGTCGAGGAAAATTGGCTCAAACCAGTTGCCAAGGCATGCACATGATGTACTTCCTTATGAGCCAACCTGGAGTCTGTCTGAAGGCCTAGCAACAGGAGCTGTCAGAGTTCCTGATTGCTGTTAGAGTTCCTGATCATGCCCAGCCAATGAGGGATGACCACACAATAGTACCAAATCGGAACACAGCTTAGATGCTGGGAGGAGGGTATATAAGACCTTCCCCGTTATTGAATAAATGAGTCTGCTGTTTGCCTTTAACTGACCCCTAGTGTCTGTGTCATTGACACCGTACCTTCTCACCCCCTCCCCCCGAGGGAGCCATTAGGATCCAGCAACATTGACACCTGAACATGGGGCTTCTGTTACTTTCTCTTTCCCAGTGCAGATTCAGATCATCACCTCCCTTCACTCAGGGTGCTTGACAGTGCCCCCAAGACAATGTGTTTCAGTGAGAAAACCATTCAGTGTTGTGTTCTTTCAATCCCTTTGGCAGGTAAGTGTTGGGACCCCCATTTCTTTCCTTCTTTTGTGCTGTCTGTCATATTTGTCTGCCCATTCTGTTAGGAAGGCACTTTTTTTTCCTGTTTTGGTTTGCCTGGTGCCTCCACAGAAGGATTGATCTCCTAGGAGGTGGAACTAAGACTTGACTCCTGAATGCCATCCCTCATCTGGAGACACTTTGTGGGCATATGGCCATGAACCAAAAAAACCATAGAAGTCTCCCAGCTATTGCTCCAAAAATCTGGTAATCCAAAAATCTATTGGACAATGTCGATTTTTCCATACTCTCCAATGCTCACCATCTGTCTTGATGGGCAAGCTGTCAAAGGCTTGGTTGACATGGGTGCAGACACCACCATTTTAACTGAGACTGAGGTACTTCGCATCCTTCATTGGAAGTTTAAACCCAGCTGCCCCATCACTGATGTGGGAGGCCAACAAGATTCTAAGATGACCATTCATCTGGTCCATTGGAAGGATCTTGATGGCAATCAGGGAGCCATTCGCCCTATCATTTCCACTGTACCTAGGAACCTGTGGGGCAGAGATATTTCGAGAATATGGGTGTTGTCCTAACTACAGATGACAGGGCCTTTTTTGATGACCTTGAGGTCCATGAAAAGGTGGGTCTTGCAGTCTACAACCCTGCACAAGATCCATAACCCCAATTCTAAGGGCCACTGTCCCCATGAGATCCACCACAATTGAGCCCCCTAGCCCTATTACATTGACGCCCCGACTTGGGGGGGAAAAAAGGAAGAAGTATGGGTGGAACAGTGGCCTATAATTGAACACAAGCTGTCAATCTTTTTTTAAAAGAATTTATTTATTTTTATGTGCATTAGTGTATGTATATCTGTGTGAGGTTGTTGGGTACCCTGGAACTGGAGTTACAGACAGTTGTGAGCTGCCATGTGGGTGCTGGGAATTGAACCCAGGTCCTCTGGAAGAGTATTCAGTGCTCTTAACCACTGATCCATCTCTCCAGCCCCTGTCAATCTTAAAGGAAGTAGTTTCAGAACAGCTAAAAATGGGGCACATATAACAGCTAACATGAAATTTTCCAACTAAATCAGACAAGGGCATAGATTATGGCCTTTGACTCTTCATTTTTTGAAAAGTTTTGGCTTAATATGAAAAGGCTGTTTGATCCCTCCTGGATTCTCACTTATGTTTTGATTGGTGGGGTGGTGCTTTTAATCTTTCTCATTTTTAATTGTCTCCCACAGCATATCTGGCAACAACAGGAAGCCACTAAAGTGACTCCACAGGTGTTAATGGCTCTTAGACATCCATCTCATAGCCCTCCACAGGAGGTTATGCATGCCTGGCTTTCTGAAATTCAAAAGGCTACTGACTGACCCTCCCCACCCGGTGTGACTCCCCAGGGATGGATGTTCTTTGAGGACTGATAGTCAATGATGGATAAGAGCTTGTTTGGCAAGCCAACCTAAGACAGGCACAGTCGAGTTACTGAGCCCACCTGAGGTGGGGTCAACAAAGCCAGAGCAAAGAACTCCGACTCCTGCTGAGTACTCACATAAGAAAATAAAAGGGTGGATATGATCCAGCAGCAGGGAAGAAGGGCAGAGTCACCAGGAGATGCAGAGGAAGCAGGAGATGAAAATGCCATGCTGAAAATGGTACTGTGACATGGTAGAGTGTAGAAGAAATATGGGTTAATTTAAGTTAAAAGAGCTAGTTAGTAACAAGCCTAAGCTATTGGCCAAGCCTTTATAATTAATAATAAGTCTCTGTGTGGTTATTTGGGAGTTGGCTGGTGGGACAGAAAAGTACGCCTACACACCTTCCTCAATGGGTCAGATCATAGGGTGTCATTTATTTGGCTTCTGGTTCTCCATGGACATTGTGGCCCTGTCTATGGTGAACTGGCTGACCTCAGAAACCCAAGGGGAGCTGGCTCCCTCAAACCCTGGAATAACTCAGCTGATTTCCTTGGCTCTACCCTAGAATCCAGGGGAGATGCAGTCTGTATTGTGTGCCTGTTGCTTTTATCTACCTACAATCCTTAAAACTGTTTCTTTCCTTATCTTTGGTGACCATTGGGGCTCCCTCTAACAGACCCCCAGATCTTAGCATGCTGATGCCATGTTGTCAGCACCAGTCAACACATAGACGCCAACACCTGCCAAAAAGGGAACAAAAGACCTAGCTATAGTTCCAGGATCCAGGAAAGTCCCTAACTGTACTAACCTTGCTTTTTGGTTTCTGTAGTTTTGGTTTTTGCTAGCTGAAGTGTGTGAGCCAGGAGGTGGATTTTGTGCATAAAAGACAAAGGACAATGAAGCTTGGGCTGCATGATTTGGGCAAGGTCCCCCTGCAACTGCCAGCCAGCAATACAGACTTTCTTTGATTGCTAGAGACCGAGATGCCAGGACACTGGGGGCCTTGGATTCCTTGGGCTGAGCACTGGGAACTGACAGTTCCTAGGGGGTGCACACCCTGAGAAGTTCCAGGACCCCAGGAACTCCTCTCACCCCTGCTTCTGTCAATCCAGAGGTTTCTTGACACCTCCACCCTAAATGGGAAACTACAGAAAATCGTCTGGATCTGTTCCCTTCAGAGGTGAGTCTGTTATGGCATCTTCTGAATAGGGCACTTAGGGAAGGCTGGATATACCCCAAATCCCAGTGTCTGGGATCCTGAGAGACATTACTGGATCTGCTAGTTTCAGTCTGTGTGGTGGCCATCCTGTTTGTCTTAATTGTTGCCTGTCTGTGTCTCAGTGTGTTTCTGCCGGTTCTTTGGTTGGAGAGACAAATCTAAAGTGGGAGGGGGAGTGAGCAGTCTCAAGCCACCATTGAAGTGAATGACTTCAAGGAGGGTTTTTACAGACTAGGACCAATCTATTGATGGGCGGCTTTCTCTGATGTAAGACCCACACCCCTGGCCTAAGACCTGTGTCCCCTTGCTGGGGATTTGTATCCTTTTGGCTCATCCAAGTTAACCAGAGAGACCCCAAATCTCCTGTTAAATTTATTTCCCCCTTCCATATGCCCCAGTGGGGCCCCTGGTTGTGCCCAGGGTAGGGTAAACAGTCCCCCAGCTTCCCTCTACCACCACTATGAAGCTCTTCCTTCTGCTTGCTCCTAGCTCTGGCTGCTTCTCACTTGCTGTCCAGGTCCTTGTCTTTGCTTTGCTCTCTGGAATGGTGCTGGACATGTGCCTCTCGCCATTGTGTTCCTTGTCTTGACTCCAAGAGTGTCTCTGTGGGTCACCCTTCTCTCTCCTTGTTTCACTTACTGGTTCTTTCTCTACACCCCTGCTCATGGTGCCCCCTGTCTAGGGCCCCATGTGGAGGTGGGGAGGGACCTGGCCTCTCCGGAGCCTCTAGCCCTTCACAGTGTGGCCCCTCAATGCATCCACAAGGATCCTTCTGCCGTCCATCTTCTTGCCATCTGTGTGGTTGTGCGGAGTGTGCACAGGGGAGGGGGAAGCAGTTCTGAGGCCCCACACTCCCTTTGTTTCCTCCTATGCCCATTCCAGTAGACATCTGCACCAGGGAAGGAGGAGATAGTTCCTCCAGCTGTGCTGAGCTTGGGGGAAGAAGAAGTTTTTCCTACCTTGGGCTCCCTCTCTGCTCCTCACATGCATACATGCAGAATGTCTGTAGTTATAGGGGCTCTGGGAGGAACTCCCCTGGGCTGGGGCAGCCCCCGCCCACCTAAATGAGTTGCCTCCAAAGGGTCCAGCACCTGGAGGTTCACCTCCATCCTCTTTCATGGTTTATGTCTCTTTCTCAACCAGTGATCTGTACAACTGGAAAACTCAGAATCCATTATTCTCTAGAGAACCCCAGGCTCTCATTAGTCACCTGGAGACAGTCTTTTACACCCACCAGGCAAACTGGAATGATTGCCAAAAGCTCTTGGCCACCTCTTCATGGCCATGGAGTGGGCCAGAATCCAGCTTGAGAATAGGAAAGCTGTCCTGGGGCCCTGCCCAACAGTGTAGCCCAGATAGAGTGGATAGTCCCCTTTGCCCAACATGACTGGGACCCCAACACTGACCAAGGTAAGGAGGCTCTGGACAATTTTCACCAGGCCCTTTTAGAAAGTTTAAAGGCAGCTGCTAGAAAGCCTGCCAATTTGTCTCTAAGATCAACGAGGTAATACAGTAATCTGGAGAATCACCCGCTGGTTCCTGGAGCACCTTTGTGAGGCTTATCCAGTGTTCACCCCTGTAGACCCAGACACACCAGGAAAACGAGCAAGCAACCAATATTGCTTTTGTTGTGCAGTCAGACCCAAATATTAGAAAGGAACTTCAGGGGGCTGGAGAGATGGCTCAGCTATTAAGAGCACAGGTTGCACTTTCAGAAGACTCGGGTTCAGTTCCCAAGTACCCACATGGTAGTTCACTGCTGTTTGTAACTCCAGTTCCAGGGGATCAAACACCCCTACACAGACATAAATGCAGGCAAAACACCAATGCACATGCAATAAAAATTAAAAAAAAGAAAGGAACTTCAGAAATTAGAAGGGGTTGAGGGTATGAATAGGTCCCAATTATGGGAGATTGCTCAGAAGGCTCATACCATGACTCTGTAGGAGAAAAAACCAAAAATTGGCCCAAGCAGTAGTGAAAGCTAGTAAAAGAGGTCCCATGGGCGGGGGGAGCCCGAAACACCTCAAAGGGGGAGGGAGAAGGACACCCTGTCCGAGGTAAGTGACTGCAAAGGGGATCCTTGCCAGACCCTGGGACCAAGGAAGAGGCCATGGGTAAGGCCCACTCATCCAAAAGACTCGATCCTGTTTCTGCTGGTTGACTGCTACCCTCACGCTCGTAAAAGAAGCTGGCAGACCGACTTTGGGCTAGGAACTGTTGTTCCAAACCGCCCCACACTCTGTAGAGCACTCTTGCAGGAGACCCCGGAGAGGTGAATGTCCAATGCCCAGATAATGCATTATCAAGCACTTTTTGTAGACTATCCTGGTATCCAATTCTTTAAAACTTGAGCCACCAACCCAGCCAGCCTGCCGCCGGATGATAACCCAGAAAAGCCCCTTCATGATTGCGTGGGAGTGACTGAGATGCTCCAGTCCACCAGACCCAGACAGACAGACGTCCCCCTGCAAAAAGCCAAAGAGGTACTCTATACCCGTGGGAGCAGTTTTATTCAAGATGGAATCAGGTATGGCAGGCTGCTGTGCCACCTTGGACAGGACAGTATGAACCCAGTCTCTCAGCTGAGGGACATCAGCACAAAGGGCTGAGCTCTTGGCATTAATCCAGGTGCTTCTTAGGGGGAAGGGCAAAACCATCACTGGGTGCTCGGACAGTCAGTATGCATTTGCCATAGCCCACGTCCATAGGGCCCTCTCTAGGGAGAGGGCACTCCTCACCATAGTCGGGAAGGAAATGAAAAATAAAGAGGAAACGCTGGCCCTACTAGAGGCCGCATGGCTGCCCAAAGAGGCAGCTGCTGTCCCCTGCTAAGGGATCAAAGAGGGGACTCCCAGGAGGCCCAAGGAAACAGGGCAGCAGACTTAGCCACCCAGAAGGTGACCCTAGAACCAGTGGGGCCTCTCTAGATCTTGGTCACCCTGTCTGAACCTGGATTGCTCCAGTGCCCAAATTATGCACAGGAAGAGGCCAACTGTCAGGAAGGGAGGATGTGAAGCCGGACACAAACAAGTGGTGGTTCTTACAGGATGGGAGACCCCAACTCCCTGCTGCTCTCAGGCATGAGTGCTCATCAAACTCTCCCAGGCCACCCACCTGGGGGCATCAAAAACTGCTGACTTACTCAGGCCCATGTATTACATCCCTCAACCAATCTTGTCAAAGACATGGTGTTCTGATGTACCATTTGTGCTTAATAAGTGAACCCCAAAGAAGGAGAAAAAGCCCTGGAAGGAATCCACGCCCAAGAAAGCACTTTTGGAGAACATGGGGAAGTGGAATTTACCCATGGTTCTCAGGTATAAGTATTTTTTAGTTGTCACGGATACCTTCTCTGGATGGATGGATGGAAGCCTATCCCACCTGAATAGAAATAGCCCCAGGGGTCACCAAGAAACTCCTCCAAGAGTTAATTTCTAGATTTGGGTTGCCCTTCTCCCTGTGGTCCAGCAATGGCCTGGTTTTCATGGCCAACATTTCCCCAAATCTGGCAAAGGTCCTAATGTTGATTGGAAACTAAGCTCAGGGTAGGTAGAAAGGATGACTAGGACCTTAAAAGAGACTTTAACTAAATATGTCCTTGAGACCAGCAAAAATTGGGCCTTTCTAAGGGCCCCTGCCACCACATTGGAAATCATTTGGGAGGCCACCTCCTCCCTTCTTAAGCTATTAATAAGGCAGACATTACTAACCATCCCCTCCTTAAGTCCTAACAGGCCCAGAAACAGACCCAGAGGACTATTCATCAGACAATTCAAGAGGCTGCACCTTTGCCCAAGTATGAGCCTGCCCACAAGTTCCAGCCTGGAGACCTTGTGTGAGTAAAGAGGATCTCAGCCCAGAGCCTGGAGCCAACATAGAAAGGCCCGTGCTCTGTGGTCCTCACCACCCCCATAGCACTGAAGGTCTGGTCACCTCATGGAGCTGCCAGACCCAGCTGAAAGAGGCTACCGAAGATGACAGGTGGGTCACCATTACATTCTCTCCATGCCTGACGTGGACCCTACAATTATGATTGTCCAATTTTGTCTTCTTTGTTTCCCTGTGGGAAAGGCCTCAAACTCCCATAGGTCAGGACCTTGCCTATGGGAATTAAGAAAGACCAGGACTGGGGAGCTCACAGCAATCTATTCACTGAGACCCAACTCACCTTCCAGGTAGATTTCTGTAAACGATTACAACCAGAAGCTCCGGGGGGATGGTTCACTCACTTCTGGGGCTGTGGGTCCATTGGTGAAGAGAAAGAGTACTGATTTATCCAGTACTATGCCTGCCTGATGCCCCATCCCCCTCAGATGTTAGAATCTAGGAGAATATGATTGAGCTCAGTGGAGTTGCAAAACCAAGTCCTCCTGGGGGAACACTGATCCTTTCTTAGTCCTAGAAAGGAAACCATCATCACCTACCTGTGGCCACCAGCAATGCAATCCCATATCCATAAAGGTTAGGGCCTGGCAGGAAACCCATTATTGGGAAACTGGTAGGACCTGGGGCGTCAAGTTACAGCTGAATGGTCCAAACCCAGGCAGCAGTTGACTATTCAAAAGAAACCTGTACCTAGGGTCATCAGCCTGTTGGGCTGAACCAGCCTATCTTGGCACCCCTGAGATATGACCCTCTCCAAGGCAGTAAACCCTCAACCTCCACTTTGCCCAGGAACTCCCTCAGTAACCATGAGGATAAAAGTCAAGGGGCAGAAGAAGCCAGCCCCTTGGAGTTTGGTATCCTAAGCGGGGGGGGGGGGGGTACCAGTTTCTTAGCCATTCTCAGCCAGACATAGATAGAGAATGCTGGCTATGCCTAGACCCCAGACCCTCATATGATGTTGGGATTGGAACTAATCAAACAATAAGCTCCACTTCCAACCCTAACAGCTGTAAAAGGGACCAGCCTAAGCTCACCCTGGGTGAGCCTGCAAGGGAAGGGTGCCTGCTTAATGTCACCAAGATACCCCCAGAGAGTTTCCCTGTGCAGATCCCTGTAGCCAGGTACAGCAGCTTAACCCCAGGAATGGTGGTTGAGTGTATTTCCAGGCCTCTGAGAGTACCTGGTTTGCTTGCAGTAACGGCTTAACCAAGTGTACATCTCGTGATGGTTTGCACTGGAGGAGAGCCCACTTGTTTGTGTCCTTGTGTACATCACACCACTGTTCGTCTGTAAGAAGAGGACAGAGCCCACCTAGATCTAGACTCTGGGCCCTTAATACTAGTTTTTCAGTCTGGAGCCTAGTCGCTCTGATAAAGCAGCTTCATCCTGTTCATCCTGGACTTCTGGACATGGGACCCCCCCCCCCAGAAAACCCCAGTTTGATTTCTGTCCCTTGGAACTAAAAATGTCCTGACTGTCAGTGATGATTGGGTATCCGAGAAGAGATGTCTAGATTTAACAGTGGGCCACGTTGTAGTAGAAGATGGAAGTTTTCTTTCCCTCTTCCTCCCTCCTGTGTCTTATGCCAGTCTTCCACAAAACTGCAACCAGCACGTCATTGTGTTTGCCTCCTGGGCCCTCCCGAGTCTCTCGAATGAGGAGTGCTTGTGGCTCAGTTTACCTTTCCTTTTTACTTAGTTGATCCCCCTAAGACTCAGGAATAACTCTTGGTTTCTAAGATTTTGGAACAAAAATTGAGTCAGATTTGGGAACTGATCTTTGACCACCGGGAGGCCAGTGGAGGGGAGTTGATTTTCACTGTTTCATACTCTCTGTGTTTCTGCTTCTCAGCCAGGTGCCATATGGTGCCAGGCATATGGGATGTTTAGTAATGATTGGTAGGCTAAAGGAAATAGCGTGTGCACACACCACCACCACCACCCAGCATAAAATATGTGATCTCAGCCCTTAGTGCATCTCCCAATCTGGTTGGGGTTTCGATCTCAGTAAGGTCTTCAGCCCATTTGGCATTCTGGGTGGGGGAGAATTGTGACTCAGAGGAGAGAGGACCTTGGAGTTGGGGAGGGGCTGAGGGAGGATCTGCGGTAGGATGACTGAGGTTGGCTTTGTAAAGACAGGTGGGTTTTAGTGAGAGGACAGTTGGAGAAGGAGTTGTAAAATGAGGGTGGTATCCCCTCAGGACTGTCTGTAGACTGTGGTAGCTACAGGTAGGGGTTCTGGCTGGTGAGGCAGAGAGGGTCTCTCAGGGTGACCAGGATCCCACTAATGCACAGAAAAGAACCAATTAAGAAGCCCTCCGTTTCCACCCACATTGGGCCAAGATGAGAGGCCCTTGGCTCAGGCACACATCGATGGAATTTGTGTGTATTGTGGGTGTGAGCACGTGTGTGGGTCTGACATTCAGTGTGCCGGTACCTTGGGGGTTTGTCTGCTTGTTTGGGTGTTGGGGACTTTTAGTTGAAGGTGACACAAGACAGGTGGTGAAGTTTTTCTTTTTTTGCTTGTTATTGTTTTGCAGCAGGAGACAATTTGCTTCAAGCTAAGGGCTGATTGCAGGATTCCCCAGCCTTGACTCCCACCCATGCCTCCATGCACCCCAGCTCTGTTGTTTCTTGTAGAGAGCTAGGCAGGGAGTGAGATAGGAGAGGGGTGATGTCTCTTGTCAGCTTCCCAGCTGGGATCCTGGTTGCAGACAAGGGGCCAGTGGTGACCTCTCTCCTGCTGGCTCTTGTTCTGCTGGCCTTCACCTTCCAGCCCACTCTGCCAGACTCTCCTACAGCACGATCTTTAGGGAAAAACCACCCTGGTTGTTGGTAAAGGGCCTCTAGAAAGGCGCCTGTCCCTGAGTAGCCTCCTTGTTCACTATGGCCTGAATGTTCATGGCAGCCCGGATGCCAGACTTGATGGCAGTGTCTATCCAGGCATGGGGCAGGCAGGTGTGCTCTCCAGCAAAGTGGATGCGGCCCTCTGGCTGGAAGAGCTGCTCCGAATAGTCCACAGAATGGTAGGGTGTGAACTGGGCAAAGGCACCAATGGTGAAGGGGTCCAGGGACCAGTGCTTGACCACCGCTTTTGGGCACATGCTCTTTAGCTCCACCTTGGGTATGTGGTGCATTGCCGCCAGGTCGTCCAGGACAATATTCACCACCTGTTTGGGCTTCATGGCAGTCAAGAAGGAGGAATCATCGCCCAAAGTGTAAGAGGCCAGAAGGACACACTTGCCACCTGGCAGGCTGTGGCTAGGATAGTAAATGTGGCGTGCGGGCCGGTCTGTGATGGAGTTGCCTCCCCGGATGCCATCCTGTTCCCAGAAGCACGTGTTGCACACCAAGCCCACCTTGGTAGCACTGGCGTAATGCACAGAGCGCAGGGCTTGTGTCTTATCTGGGGACAGGGGTGGCTGGAAGGTGATGAGGCGGGTGGCCTTGGCTGAGGCTGAGTTGATGACGTAGTCAGCAGTGAGTTGGTGCAGTGCGGAGGCGGGCCCATCTGTGCGGTACAAAACTTTGACCTGAGGCCCGTCTCTCACCACTGTTTCTACTCTGGACTTCAGATGGATGGTGCCAGGCTTCAGGCTGGCATTAAAGGCATTGGGCAGTTGGTCAAAGCCACCGGTGATCTCTGATAATCTACAGGGGTGGAGAGGGGGCGATGAGATGGGGAGACACCCCCAGATCTGTGTGTCCCAGGACTGGCCATTTCTTTGGTCTGAAGAGGGAAGGGCCTATCTTCCCTGCCCTCTTGTGTGGGATGTTTTATAAACATCACCTTCATGAATACGCAGCCCCGTGTCAGGCAGGCATTGTTACCTGAGCACCCCCTACACAGTAAATACCCAACAAGCCAGTGCTGGGGTCTGGGTTCTTCCTGGCCCTGAACCAGCCTTACTCATCGTTTCCGGAGAAGAGGGTATCAATCCTTAGGGACTCCAGGAGGGACTTGTAGTACCCAGCATTCTCGTTCATCACATCCCCGATCATCTTGATTGCGCCTTTGCTCAGCCTTCCTTCCTTCATCAGATAAGCCTGTGGAAGTAGGAACCATAGACAGAAGTGTGGGCCAGAGCGTGTAGTATGTAGGGAAGCTTTAGCAGGGGCCTGGGCGCAGCAAGGTTAGCTCTGGGCTTGAGGGAGGCAAAGGCTTTGTCAGTAGGAAGAGGGCATTCTGTTGGCAGGACACTGCCCCAGGGCCTTGGCTGAGCACAGAGCCTGTCACTCCCGCTCCATTCTGGGCCTCCTGTGTCACTTACCTTGGTGGAGTAAGAGTCATACAAGGACATCAGTTGGCTGCAGGTGAATGTCTTCATGTCTTCTTTGACCTGCAGAAGGGAGAAGAGACAGTAATCAAGCTGGGCCTCCAGGTGACCAGGACTTCTAGGCTGCTGTAGACAAGGTCACAGGGCGACAGATGCCTCACATGCCTTTAGATTAGAGTCAGGTTCTTTGGATGTCCCTTGGGGAGGCTGCAAAAAGCCAGGAAAGGGCAGTTCCCAGAGCTCCTGGATGCTGCTCCTTCCCTTCATTTAAAGACAATTGACGAGACAGAGTCTCACATAGCTTAGGTTGGTTTCAAACTCACTGTATAGCTGAGGCTGCTCTTCAGTTCTAGATTCTCCTGCATCCACCTCCCAAGTACTGGGATTAGCAGCTTGTAGTACTACACCTGACTAGAAACAAAAGACCTGTTCAAGATGAAAATCTAAAGTGTATATTCAGTTGGTAGAACACTTGCTGTACAAGACTGAGGACTTGAGTGCTATCCTCAGCACCCACATGAAAGTAGGGTGTGTTGGAGATGGAGAGACGGCTCAGTGGTTAAGAACACTGATTGTTCTTCCAGAGGACCTGGGTTCAATTCCCAGCACCCACATAGCAGTTTACAACTGTCTGTAACTCCAGTTCCAGGGGATCTGACACCTTCACACAGACATACATGCAGGCAAAAACACCGATGCACATCAAATTTTTAAAAAACCAGGGTGTGGTATCACATGACTGCAATGCCAGAAGGTAGAAACAGTAGGATTCCTGGGGCTTGCGGGCGAGCCAGTCTAGCAGAATTAGTAAGCTCTCGGATCAGTGAAAACACTGCCAAAGATAGAATAAAATAAGGTAGAAAGCAATTGAAGAAGACAGCTGATGTTGACCACTGGCTTCTACACAAAGATGCACATGCACCCACATTTACCTAAATATACATGTACACAAACACACACACACACACACACACGCACGCACGCACGCACGCATGCACGCACGCACAGACACGCACAGGCACATACACACAAACACAGACACTTCAAGATAAAGATCTTCACTGTCATCTAGGATGACTGATTCACTACCAAGGGCTGCTTCATCTGGTTGCCCCCCTTTCTTTACACTGCTGCCGACCGACCGAGTCATGTTCCCTGGATTCCTCAAAGACAGAAGAGAAGGGTTGAAGGTGGAGTTGAGGGTGGTGACATCATCAACAGATGTTCTAAGGCCGATGGACCAATCATAAGAATGTTGGGTGGGGGTCAGGTGATCTGAATCCTCATACTGATTTGCTGTGTGACTTTAGGCACCTCCCCTTTCCTACTTGATCCCAGTTGGGAAAGGCAGCAGGCACCTTAGTGATGGCTTGCTGGAAGAGGTATTGGGCGGTTTTGCTCTTCTCTGTGGAGTTCATGGGGTAGCCCAAGATCTCCGGGTTAGCCTTGACTTCCCAGGCACGATAACGGTGTTCATTGAGTAGGTACCAGGTGTTGTTATTATTCTCGATGAACTTATTCAGCTTCAGGCCAAATTTCTTGACATAGGCGTGCGTTAGCCTGGAGCAGAGACAGACATCATAACATTCTGGTTCCTTCTGGTCCTATATTAGAAACTATTTCTGGTGAAACTAGTGTAAGCTTGTGCCTAGGAAACTCAAACTAATTCCTTGTTCAACTGTAATCTCATTTAATGTTGTGGGCATTGGCTCCTTGTCTCCCAAGGCTGTAGAGGGTGAGAAGTTCATTGAATTAAGGCCCTTTATGAAATCCCAGCTAACAGGACTCAAAAGTATAGACAGATGTCCTTTGTTTCAGACAGCATTTGAGATCCCACCATGCACTTCTAAGAATGTCAAGGCTGTATTTAATGACTCCCACTTTGGGCTGGTGCAGTTGTTTATGTTTTTGGTGGTTTGAGGGTGGGTGTGGGTTCAATTTATATTAAAGGCAAAAAAAGAAAAAAGAAAAAGAAAAAAGAAAAAAGAAACATCTGTGGAGATAGGGTCTAGAACTAAATTAGTGCTCAACAAATAATAGATACTATTAATAGTAATGTGTTATAATTTCTCAGTGTATTTTGATGTAAGCGACAAATATGAAACTGCCCATATTTACACACTACAGTTTGATGACTGGCAGCAAGGATTGTGATTGTCAGTTTGGGGTCTATCACTTCCTGTGACCACGGCTTTCTGTGACCACCGTCTTCTCTCTGAAGTGGGAGCTGAGTATCAGCCCTGACCTACTGGGTTGGTTCACATGACACAGTGAGCCTGAAAGATGGCATCAGGGTCCCTCCTGCCTTTTCCTCATCCTCACTCTGCCCCTTTTGCTCCTTCTCTTGTACGGGACTTACTTGTGGCTTTCTGGGATTCGCATGGGTCCTAGATCAAAGTACCAGCCTTCCTCCTTGTTTCTGACTGTGACCACCCGACCTCCGATGTGGTGACTGGCCTCCAAGATGGTTACCTGGAGTTGAGAGAAGCAGCTGTGTCATTCTTAGGGAGTACTGTCCTTTCTCCCCACCCCACTTCTCACCTCCAAAAAGCCATAGGCTCTGGCCTGAAGGCCACGTGCATGCAGAATAACCTCAGTGGGGCTGTTCGCTCCAGAGGGCCCCGAGCCATTTGAGGCCTTTGTCTTGGTAGCATAGGTCCTTCATTCTTGTCTCCATAAGAACGTGAAGGGCAGTTAGCGATGACTAAGGACCAGGGGGTTCGGAGACTGGTGGGTGCATGCAGTTGCACATCACCCCCTGTCAGATCACTCACTCCTTTTCCACCCCAGGAAGTACATTGGAGGCTGTATCAAGGCCTTTTGAGACCTTCTTACCTTGTGACCCGCATCCTGTAGGGTCTTAGCTGCGACTAGACCTGCTATGCCGGCTCCCACAACCACCACATGCTTGGACAGTGGGGAGGTATGGAGCCCGTTCTGGGCTGTGAGAAGGAAGGTCTCATAATTAGGGTCCCGGAAACACTTGTCAAGGTCCTCAGAGAAGGCAAGGCAGCTGGAGATGGATAGCAGGATCCCCAAAATAAGGATTCCTGGGGGCAGAGAAAGCAAGGGGGTGGTCTTTCTGGAGCCCAGGCTCTGGGACCTGTTTATCCAGGATGGGCTTGACTGAGGGAGCTGGCGGCACAGGGCAGTCAGGTGAGGGCAGTGTCTGACAAGTGTTTGGTTGTAGATACAAATATTTGGTGTTATGTCTCTATGAAGGCAATTGTGCTGTGCAGGGTATTGTGAACTGTAGTGTTATTTGTGTGATTAATGTGTGATTGTGAATACAGCTTGCACCTTGGAAGCTGGCGGGTGTGGGAGGTTCACAGCTGACTACACGTGTGTCTGCTCCTGATGGAGAGTGTGCATGTGTGCTCACCTATGAGTGTGTAAAGGACTGTGGTCGTGTATAACTGTCCGTTTGTGGGTGGGAGTGTGGTTGTAGTTTGCTCTTGCTTTGTATGACTGCATGGTTTGTGACTGTATATGAAGGAAGCTTTTGTGGAACAGTGTGGTTGTCTGAATCTATGGGAAAATGAGATGTTCTGAGAACTGGAGTGTGAGATGGGCTGGATTTGAGACTGAGGAGGATGAGATGTGTGAGAAGGGTGGGTGCATGTGAGGGTTCTCTGAGTGCATCCGGGCAGTGAGGCTGTGTGGGGAGAGAGTGAGAGGGAGAGAGGGGTGTGTGCATACTTGTGAAAAGAGGGGTGTGTGTGTGTGTGTGTGTGTGTG